ATTCATTATGTTCTGATTGCAAAAACATACAGATGCACATGTGAGTACATCTGCCAATTATGTGCTCACCTTACGCCCACTGCATGCAAAACAAACCAACTGCTCAGCAAAATAAAAAAGTAGCAGCTGCTGCACCTCACTACCACCTACTCCCACACAGATTCATTCATATGCATTTCACATTTCAGCTTTTCTGGGTAAATGCTGCCTCAGTTTGCAGATACACAACAGTTTTCCTGTGCTGTGGCATACCTCTACATAGTTTCTGAATAAGTTGCGGCAAGTCTTTTATCTGAGGGGAATGCACCTCGATTATTGTGGAAATATTTCGGACAGTTGGCAATACTCATTAGCGTTTGATGCGTTTAATAAGTCTCCTGTAGCATTGAGTTCACTGCTCCGCTATGGAGGAAACCATTAGCCGCCGTGGCCTCGGCCATCAAGACAGCTCTGATAATCAAACCAGCCTAAGTCAACAGCAGAGCTGGAAATTGGCTCTCACCTTGGAGTACGTTCCTCATCTAAATGGGTCTGTGTTTACACTGAGTGCTATTATATACCAAGCTGTGACGGGTGTGTGTACAGTAGCAGAGGCAGCTAACAGCGGGGGCTCTGGTTTGGAAAATGAGAAGATATGGAAGCCACCAGGGAGAACTAGATCTCTGAAGATGCTCTCTGTTAAAATGATGCTTTTCCACCAACAAAATCTAGTTACAATCTACTGGTGTGAATATATTTAATGAGTAAAAAATAAGAATAATCTTCAAGCAGGTTTGTTCTCATGTAATAAAGATGAGCCAGCAGGAGGGGAACAGCTGAGTAGGAGCTGATGATAGAAACAGATGGGAAGTCGTTTAAATAAGAGCGCATTGGAAAAGTTTTCATTCCTCTTTCTCAGGTTATAACCACAATCCTCAAAGCGTTTAATGGGGATGGGGGGTCATTATACAGAGTGTAACAGAATCGAGCCAAAATGAAGACATGTTGCTGTTTAATGGGAGGACGGCAGATGTGTTCTGGTTAGACTCTAAAAACTCCTGCACTCATGTTGGTAAATCAACCATCTATATAGCAAAACAGCAAAATATGTTAAAGTTTGTTTGTAATGAGACAAACTAATACTGTTTCTTTGCATTGTTGACGTGAATATTTGAATTAATGCACCAATTAAAAAAAGCTAATTGTGGAAACAGATGGGAAATGTTTCACCTTTAAAATCCATATTCCATTTTAGATGATCCGAGTCCGAGCAGAGCTGCTGCTTTCCATCTCGTGCCAGAGAATACATGAATCCTTCTCTATTTGTAAACTGAATGTGATGAAGATTCTTACATGACAGCTTTTGTATTTCTAACTGGGCTCAGAGGGAGGGCCCAGCCCTCAAAGTGTCTCTCTTTTGTTTTATTTATAATACGCTGATTTCATTTTCCCATACACAGACCGGAGGAGACAGACGGGGAGACGGGTGGTGAAGAAGAGACTACGGGAAATATAAACAGAAGTGACAGAGAAATGCAGACAGAGGGATTGATGGAATCAGTGAAAAGCAGAGAAAGCCCAGTTAATGTAAACAGGTAGAGCTGCCGCTGCCTCAGCCTTGCATGTGACAGAGCCGCTTTAAGACCTTTCATTTCCTTCTGCTTATTCTATTACATTCTTCTGTGTTTGAGCACAAAGTGTGTTAGCTCTGCAAACATTGCTGCTCCTGCCCACAGTTTCATAAAGGGCCACCAAAACAGTGAAGGGTCAGGAGACCTGGTAGGAAATCACATCACCTCACGAATTCCTCAGCTGCTCATTTATATTTGTTTAAACGTTTAAACCACTTATCTGGCATTCTGAGGTATTAAAACGAAAAGAAAGAAAACAACTCCTTCAATATGATGCAGCCCCAACTCATGAGAAATTGAATATCTTGCCGAAATAATAACTTTAACTGAGTTGGATGAGTTTAGAGTGAGTCATTGGCCAGCTGGACAGCAGCAGGGTTGGGAAACAATGAAGCTGTGAGTCGCAGGACTTTAATAAGGGCGGGATGAGAGCGCCGACGATATGATTTCTCTGCTGACCCTGAGAAAAGCTTATGAATTCACAGAGAGCTCCAAACAATATTACAGAAGGAAAATGATAACAGATTTCTGCAATAAATGGGGCTGAATACCTGTGCTGAGCAGACTGACACTCAGAAAGTTAGACTGGAGGAGACGTAATGGAAGCATTTCTGGAACTTTATGGAATGACATCTCATGATATTAAAACTCCACGATGCCATCTAGCTTATATCACAATATTACTTTTTTCTGGTGGAATTAATAAATGCAATACAACCAGAAACACGCCGCTTTTTTTTCCTATTCAACAACAGACAGCAGCAGTATCTGTTTGGTGAGTTTCTAGGATATGCAGAAATCTGCTGATTTCCATCATGTGCTGGAGAAAGCCAAGAATGTTTTTGAGCTGCTCAGGAAGGTCATATTAGAGCCCTTAAGGGACTCTTCTACACATACTTCATGCTACTCGGCATGCTGCCGACAATCAGGAAGTGGCTCCTGGTTTTTATAAGGTGGAACAAAGAGGTCTTAATGGCAGCTTCCTCAGAATGATTGACTGGGCTCACATCTCCAACCTGTTGATGCAAGTTTTGAGCATTTGACAAGGATGTGCTCTGAACATCACAGATCTGAAATTCCACATGAATCAGCCAATAATCAGGCATGACCGGCAACTTGGTGCCAGCCTGCCCCCCTCTAATCCAATCACCTTAGGGGAGTGGGGTCAGGGGGTTGTTCTGATTGGATGCCGAAGGATTGGGTCACCGCGTCCATGACCTGCCTCTTTGAATCCATAATGATGCTAATATTCTCCATATGGCCTTGTGTTTTCTGTGTGCGTCCCAAGGCATAGTGCCTATCCGGAGGCTGAGCTACACCCCCGCGTTAATGGCCGGTGGAGAGTGAGGTAAGAGCCAAAGTAGTACTCTCCCCCCTCCCTGGGGCAAACCTCTCCATGTTACCACTTCCAGCTTTTCTTTCCAAATCCTCTTTCCAAGCCTTGAGCTTCACTTACCGGCTGCCGCGCTGTGCAGTAGCCCCAAGGAGCCAGTTTAAAGGCTGAAGTCTGAGGTTTCTTTCCATCACACCTCCCTACTCTGGAATAAACTACTCCGAGTTTCTTAATTTGAGACGTGGGAACAGCCAGACGGAAGCTGATTTATTGCATCTGCACTTTGGGCCGCCACATTGTGATGAGAAAGATTTTCCAGACGAGTAAAATAGATTGAGGACATGCTGTAACCTGCAGGTCTGTTTTTTGGTTGAGAGAAAAACAAACGTACTGAAGGTCTAAAGCTTGGAAAGAACCTCAACCATGAACCACACGCTTCTACACTCTGTTGCAGTGATGTGATGCCCCATCATCTATTATTTTGCTTGATTATTACTGAATGAAGTCATGGATATATAATTATTTCACAAATAACTGGAAATATATGTCATGTTAGGTCAGTATGTTATTATGCTGTTATGGATATTGAAATAATAAATGAAAAAAAACTTTTTTCAAAGTGATTTTATAAGGATTCTGTCTGAGCAGCCATCCTCCTGACTCATACCTCATTCCTGCTCTATGCTCCCATCTGTGAGATGCTTTGCTTCATCTCCTGCTATAACTGCGCACACACAGCCACACACTCTCACCTCCTTCGCTCCCAACCCTCCAGCTGCAGCCCCAGCCGGCTCCACACAAAGGCAGGCCAAATGTATGCTAATGAGAGCCAGGCCAATGGTGGAGCCGCACTCATTTTGAGAGGAAATGGCTTTCAATAATGGCGGCCCCCGTGGGGATTTCGCACAAAGTTCAGGCCCACTTTGAAAAATGCATTCGATTCTCTGCTGCGTCTGCTCCCTTTTTCTCCAGTGTTTTTTCCCTTTTCACCATGAAAAAAAAAGAAAACGCTTTCCCAGAATACATTTGTATCCAATCCTCTTTCAGTTCGTGTTATGCTCCTGAAAGTGGGAAACGCTGGAATTGTAATTCATCTTCATAGAAACATTGGAAACAAGATGTGTGGAAGCATGCTAATTAGACAGAGGACTTAACAAATATCAGCGTTATCTGTAAATCTAATAATGTCAGCAAACAACTCATTGGCTGCCATTATTAATAATATTCTAGAGATGACACTGGAGATTTCTAATGTAGTGTTTCCATTACTAATTGAGCCAGTGATGACTTTTTAATGATGTGGAAATAATTACAAAAAACAATAGAGAAATAAACTCAGTGCGATTTTCCATGTACACAATAAAGAGCTACAAATTGTCTGAGAAAAAGTTTAAGAATAAAACCATAGTTTGTGGTTTGGATAGAAAATCTGACCATAAAATCTATTAGTTTCTTAAATTGCACTCCTAAATAGAGTCTTTGTTTGTTTAGAGGGGTTAAAGTTGAATTAAATCCCCATATTAAGGACTCAATGTTTCCTTCCTACATTCTTGGTTTCCCCCAGACCAGGGCTGATGTCTGTGCTCTCCAATGCCTGTCATATCAGGAGGACCAATAACCCATGAAATAACTGCTCTCTTTTCCCCTCAGTCTCCTCCTCTCGCCCGGCTCGCGCCACGCCGCTCCAGTCCAGCCGTGACGGTGCCGCTCGCTCAGCATGAGCATCTACACACACTTACATGAATATTGGTTGTTGATGTTGGACAGATGCATATTCATTTTGACGAGATGACTGTTAAATAAACAAAGCGTAGGTATAGTCATATTAAAGGGCTATATCCTTTATCCTGCGTCCTGCTCTCTGGAGAGCTGATCAGTCCTTTTCCTGGGATGAGTAGACACTCCCAAGGCAAACACTCCAGATTTAATTATAAGCTCCAAAGAGGATTAGTCTACACTACTTGTGTCTGTGTGTGTGAAGGGGTTGGGAGGAGGGACACAAAGGGAGGAAGTGGCATCCAACATGCGGGAAGAAAAAATAAACATGGTGATGTCACCTGGGTTGCTGACTGTAATCCAGGTCCAGGTCTTCATAGCGGTGCCTCGGCCTGGATTCAGCTGCTCTGGGCGCCATCTGAGAGAAAACAGAGAACAGGATATGTAAGATTACATGTTATAACACCTCACAATCAAAAAAGGCCCTGAACTCATAACTGCCTCTCTGGAAGTCATTTAGGTAGAGAGTAAATAAAACATGTATTACTGGAGTCAAACAGCTGATGTCCTTAGGCTGCATGTTTAACCTCACTCATGTTTCAGTAGTCCAGTGATTTCATTCATATCAAGTACACTATATTGCCAAAAGTATTTGCTCACCTGCCTTGACTCACATATGAGCTTAAGTGACATCCCGTTCCTAATCCATAGGGTTCAATATGACGTCGGTCCACCCTTTGCAGCTAGAACAGCTTCAACTCTTCTGGGAAGGCTGTCCACAAGGTTTAGGAGTGTGTTTATGGGAATTTTTGACCATTCTTCCAGAAGCGCATTTGTGAGGTCGCACACTGATGTTGGACGAGAAGGCCTGGCTCTCAGTCTCCGCTCTAATTCATCCCAAAGGTGTTCTATCGGGTTGAGGTCAGGACTCTGTGCAGGCCAGTCAAGTTCATCCACACCAGACTCTGTCATCCATGTCTTTATGGACCTTGCTTTGTGCACTGGTGCACAGTCATGTTGGAAGAGGAAGGGGCCAGCTCCAAACTGTTCCCACAAAGTTGGGAGCATGGAATTGTCCAAAATGTCTTGGTATGCTGAAGCATTCAGAGTTCCTTTCACTGGAACTAAGGGGCCAAGCCCAGCTCCTGAAAAACAACCCCACACCATAATCCCCCCTCCACCAAACTTTACACTTGGCACAATGCAGTCAGACAAGTACCGTTCTCCTGGCAACCGCCAAACCCAGACCCGTCCATCAGATTGCCAGATGGAGAAGCGCGATTCGTCACTCCAGAGAACGCGTCTCCACTGCTCTAGAGTCCAGTGGCGGCGTGCTTTACACCACCGCATCCGACGCTTTGCATTGCACTTGGTGATGTATGGCTTGGATGCAGCTGCTCGACCATGGAAACCCATTCCATGAAGCTCTCTGCGCACTGTTCTTGAGCTAATCTGAAGGCCACATGAAGTTTGGAGGTCTGTAGTGATTGACTCTGCAGAAAGTTGGCGACCTCTTCGCACTATGCGCTTCAGCATCCGCTGACCCCGCTCCGTCAGTTTACGTGGCCTACCACTTCGTGGCTGAGTTGCTGTCGTTCCCAAACACTTCCATTTTCTTATAATACAGCTGACAGTTGACTGTGGAATATTTAGGAGCGAGGAAATTTCACGACTGGATTTGTTGCACAGGTGGCATCCTATCACAGTTCCACGCTGGAATTCACTGAGCTCCTGAGAGCGACCCATTCTTTCACAAATGTTTGTAAAAACAGTCTGCATGCCTAGGTGCTTGAATTTATACACCTGTGGCCATGGAAGTGATTGGAACACCTGATTCCAATAATTTGGATGGGTGAGCAAATACTTTTGGCAATATAGTGTATGTGGAGGTGCATGCCTGCATGGATAGCCTCCAGCATTGTGGGAATAAAGAGAAGTGAGATAATCAAAAGCCATTAAAAAAAAAAAAAAAAAAAACATCTAAGAGGCGTCATGCAGGTACTAAATGCAGTTTTTCAAACAATGTCGACTCAAAGTACGAAAAAAATCAGCAGATGCAGATTTAACAGAGAAAAGTCGTATTGGCGGGTTCAATCCATTTAAACATCCCATTTCCATAATGGCTATCAGAAAATTGTTCAGTTTCACTAGCTGGACAGTTTTGGAGGAAGTCGACTGCTGCAACTGATTAAATTTTTTGGCATAAGCATGCAAGAGGCGACAGTGGAAAGGAAAACGTACTTTAAAATGTTAAGCTCCGGACACATAAAGCAGAAAAAGGGGCTTCTTAAACAAAAAAAGTTGATCTATACAGAGATAAAGGGGTTATATTGTTAAAGCAAACCACAACAACAACAAATGTACTTAGTATTACCTTACTTTTGCCTTTTTTAATTGACATTTTATATCCCTCAACATTAACAGCATAAATGGAGATCTAAGTAAAAGGCTTTTAACGAAGTTTTAATATCTGAGGAGAATCTAACGACATTAATAGATTCTTCATCTCAACTCTGAGAACCTCTATAACAAAGTCTTTTAAAGAAGCTGAAGATTAGGGTGATGGTAAGGAGGCCACTCAGCCTTAAAGGTTATTTGTCCTGAAATACCAGTTAAAACAAATAGAAAACACTTTATTTACTGTATAGAACATATTAAACGCTTTAATATGTAGCTTCTTGTTCAAACAGTTTTTATTTAGAAGATGACTGTTGAATAGAATAAAAAATATCTTAAAGCAACCTTGAGCACCTGACCTTGAGGGTCTCCTAGCATGCACTGGGAACCCACTGCAGATGGCTTTACGCCGTAGAGGCACATCTGGTGTTTGACCAGCCTCAGAGGGCAGATGTCATTGTATTGCTCATTGACCTCCACTTTGTATCCATCAGCGTCTGAATCAAATTCTGGCCCCTAATGGTCCCAAAAGCACGAGTGGATGTTGGGGTCTGGCCCAAGCTCTCTAAACTCAATCATGTTTACCATTAAACTCAATGTAGCATCCCATAATAACAGAGCAAACCTGACAGATTTGTTTTAGTGACCCCATATTGTTAACAAAGGGCAGTTGTATATTTTGAAATATTTTGAACCTGTTAGTTCATATGCTGGGAAAATCGCCAAAGTATAAAATGTAATAGGAATTACTACATAGATTAACTTTAATGTTATGATTATTCTACTTTTTAAAGGTCATCATCAAACCTGACAAAGAAAGTTAAAGTGGATACAAATATATATATATATATATATATATATATATATATATATATATATATATAAAAAACACTAGACATGATTGAATGTCAACAGTTGATATATATACAAATTGTTATTGTGTGCTAAAATTTTTCATTTTTAAGTTTTTATTTGAGGTAATATTAATGTTTATTGTTTACAGTTGAAGAAACCCAAAGATTCAGTCTCTCTGAACCACTAAGTATATAAATATACAGATTTGCAGCAACTGAAGGCATGAAAAACTTTTAATTTTCTAACCAGCAGGCTGGCAGCCAAATCCAGGAACTGGACCCACGGTGTCATTTATACAACTGTAATAAATTGGTAGCAATAAGTCAGACTGTGATTTTAAGGATAAAGTGGCCCCCACTTTCACAAACACTGCAACTGATGGCATGGGATTGGTTTACACTGTTTTGGTTGCTCAATCACAAATGTTTTGAAATCAAACCAGTTCGGATCATTAATTCAACAGCTGAAATATTATTGTGGCCCCTTATACATGAAATCTACATATTCAGGGGAAAAATAAAAAATACTCTTTGAAATAGAGTGGGATGAAGGATTTAACTTAAGTTTAACCAGGTATTTGTCTGAACAAAAAATGTACCTGCATTCCATTAAAAGACACATAGATAATAATAATCTAGTTTCAAATTATTTTAAAGACATGCTAAACTGCAATCCAAACATCTTAAAAGAATAAAATAATATAAAGAATGACAGTTATTTTCTGAAGTAGATAGTACATTTATATCAGTTGGACTCAGCTGCACATTATATTCTGTAGCAATCAGTATTACTGCAGCTGAAAAAGACTGCTAGGAGGCAATGCATAGGGTAGGGTATATAGATGAAGAGCTATGCATGTCAATTATGCTGTTGGGTCAGACTAACTGCCCTTTATACATGTGGAGGAGGAGGCATGGTAAGGAAGAAAGCAGGAAAGTTTGTGAATATCATGAACCCCTACTTGCAAAATAAAGTTAACATTTCTTATTGGTGCTCTTAACTTGTCTATCAAGGTTTATTTTTTCTAAAAATGTCTACATGAACATGGCGAAAGCTAAAAACTACTTCGTTTTTTGTTCTGTTAGTCCTTTCTTTAAGTGTTTCAAACAAAATACGCACACACACACTACATTAAGACCAAATGAGACCATAAAGGACCAGACGATATCATTTCAACTCATTGTGCATGTCAGTGCAGCACTGCCACATTAGCAAATATCATTAGCGTGTCTTTGTAATGCAGGCAGCTCTAATGTCTGAATGAGCCAGGAAGTAGGAGCACATCAGAGCTGCTGCGCTCTTCACGGACCAGCCTCTGCATGCATGTTTGTGTGTAGCATTAACATGATGTTAGTAGGTGAACACTCCTCTCTTTGGATGGGAGGCTGTGCGAGCAGCATGGGGGCCATTATGCAAACAGATGCATAAAGGGAGCATTACTCCCAGCCAGAGGCAAGGGCCTCAGGTGGAAGACCTTTTTATGTTTCTTTATATATTGCATGATTGCAGAGCAATAAATCTTCTACGCATCATGTCGCAGAGTAAGAGCCTCTACCAGGAGAGTGATGAGGACAGGAGGAAATGTAGGTTTAGATAGAATGATTGAAATTCTTTGTCCATTGATTGGATTAGCATATTAGCCTGCAGCCATAGGTCTGGATGATCTCCTTATTGGGGTTCACACTTGCACACACACAGAGAAATTATGGATGTTGGTCATACAAATGGTTTTCAAGCAGAAGCCCATTTCCCCTAAATTAGTCAGCTTCTGTGGCAAATCTTGTGCCTTGAAAATGCTGCTGTGGTGAACTTAAAGAGCCGCCTCCTCCTCAATGCCATGGCAACTGGTAAAACAGGGAGGTGAAATTCATCCCAGCTGGATTAAAAAAAGGTCTGTGGAGATGGTCAGGGATCGCCGTCACGGCTCCAGAAAGGTTAACAAGCGACAGGGGGTTGGTGGTGATAGTGGTTTCACGCAGAAAGTGAGTTCACGTCCCAAACCTCATGACATCATATGTTGGTTTAGTAGGGGAGAAGTTAATGTCTTCTGCAGATGGAGGTTAACAGAGCGAGAGCGCACAAATGATGGAGAATTTCCTATTTCTCATCAGCATCATATGGTAAAACGCTCTCAGTTCATCACATCTGTCTGCAGGAATTTTTCAC